CCCCCAACCCTTTTAACTGACCCTGTGAGCTGAATGCCCTTTATATTCCAATTCATGTCACAGTTACCATACATTCAATACTCCTGACTATTTGATAGAGTTATGTATATCCCAAAACTGAGAAATTTAAAGGGATGCAATTACTTTCGTGGATATTTTGAGGTATATCTCGAATGAAGTGATAAACGCTTCTGAATTTGATTTTAAAAATTTAGAAACTGAGCTTTCAATGAACACCATTCTTTTATACTGAGATAAATGGCGACCGGGACTTGCATATGTTTGGATGGCTAAACACATTATTTTCTCTGATTCCATTTTCACCTAGCAGGTCATTTCGACATAGTTGAATCACTTTGCAAAAATCTTTCTCCCCCAGTATCCTGTTTATTTGTAAAACCTATCATAAATTGAAGTTTTTATGTAAAACGTTGGCGATATTGCTTTTGTTTGCCAATGTCACAGAGGACCATTTATTCTGACCGTCGACGTCACTCTCCTAAAGTGGAAGCTTAAGCTACAAACACCGACACCAGTGACAAGTAAAACAAAACGGAAACAATCAGTGTCAAGCTGTGAGAACGAAATAGTACCAACCCTTCATATCCAAACGCAGGCTTATTACATGTTTTTACATTGAGGTTTTTTTTCAGGAGGAAGCCACAGCCACATCAGGGAGATACAACCCAGAAGGTGACAGGACCTTACACCCCAGAAAATGTGGAGGTGGAAAAAAATGAGGAAGGCGAAGACAAAAGCAGTCTGATCCAACTGGTGCCTAAGTTGTACGGCAAGCAACTGCAGCCGTGTAGGACACTGGAGAGAATTGCTGAGATCTTCATCGCCTCCGTGCCGTCGACAGGTTCCGCGTACATGAGCCGATCAGCCTTCAAAGACTTTGTGAAGTATGCTGTCGTTCCTGTTACCTTTACAGCCTTCTACGTGCGGGCTTTGTTTAGTTAAATGAGACTGGGATAGATTATTCACTACTGAGAGTGTTCCTGGTCTTTGACTAGAATTCTCATCTGACTCACCGAGAATTTAAACGTGACATTGAGCTGTACCTTGAGTAAACATTTATAAATGTACAGGTAATAATCTTCTCATACGACCTATTTTCAACTTAGAAAAAGGATCGGAATTGCGCGAGATCAGATAGAAAAAAATAAGAACAACAGCCAACCATAGATGTTCCACGGGATAAAAGAAAATTGTATAAGTCTTCAAGTTCACTGAGCAATCGGGCAGTGTGTACAGGTGTGTTTGTCATTTTAAAAAAAAACCCCAGATTCCAGAAATCCAGGTCAGCTCTTTGTAATAACCACCCCCATCCGGTGGAGTTTAGGGGGGGGGGGGTGTAATGTACGTCACTGACATTTATGTTTATTACATGGACAGAACTGGATAGGAGGACACAGTGTCGGTTGATGAAAAAGGCCCGGATAGCTGTCCATGACAACTGTGTAGAAGTATCTCTAACTGACAGATACACGAACTCGAGCAATTTATTTGTTTCAAAAATGGGTTTCCTTGTGACTTAATGAACAATGCCGTTTTAGGGTATTGTAGCTCTTTATCGTGAAACTTCTCAATATCTACCTGTTAACGTATTCAAAACGTTTTCAAGAGTAATTATTTATGTTCAGTAGACCTGGTTCACGTGTTTATTTCTCTGATTGTAATCGTTTTACTAGCCCCTTGACACAATTTAGAGAATTAAGGAGACAGGCTGCAAATTACCCTGTCAGTGGCAATGAAGACAAAATAGGATATAGTGTCACAGTATAAGACAGAGATACACGAAAAATTGACCTCTAATCTCGGGGATCGAACTCAAGTCTTTTGTGTGTGGCTGTCGAAATCCCAAGTTTGACAACACAGGTGCCGACCTCTGATGTACAGTTCGGTGAGAACACAGAAAGTTGTACCGCACAGTATTTGAAACCTAGAACAAGGAACTTCCTCTCCTCCTTGACAAAGTCGCTTGGCTCTGAGAGAGGTAAGACTGACGATCATGACAGTTAGAGTGGCCTCCAAAATCGTTCAGTTCCTATGACAAGTTCATCATACAACGTCCCAGGATCCGAAAAAAAGAACTGTATTCACTCCAGTTGTAAAATGTTCAATGCAACAAGTCTTTAGTTCACAGGAACAAACAAACAAACACACACACATACACACATACACACACACACACACACACACACACACACACACACTCACTCACTCACTCACTCACAAACACACACTCACACACATACACACACACACACACACACACACACACATACACACACTCACACAAACACACACACACAAACACAAACAAATAGAAACAAACTTTTTCAAAATTGTTAAACCTTACTTGGTTGTACCGATATGCAGTGGCGGTGGGTAGTGAAGGGCTTACGGGCTTGAGCCCCTCGCCCCCACCCCGTCCCCACCCCAACTCAATCCCTTAGTTCATGAAAGTTTCTTAAATAACGAAATAAACAGTTGAAACCGTTGTGATCGCACAAGGATCGCACACAGTGAACACACAGTTATCAGCTTGCGGCTTGCCCGTTTATCCAATCATTGTTGTCACCGCTTACAACTATAGTAACCTAACAGCCAATCAAATGTCGTTAGGGCTCAGAAAGAATAAGCCGGTTCCCACGCCCGTCTTTAATGAAACTCTTCTTGTAAAATGGTAGAAGACTTTTAAAAAATAACACTGCACAGCGGGCTCACGCTCTCTCAGCCCTGACAATGGGGTGAAAGTTTACGACACACTTTCCCCCAGTGACACAGCTACCTATACGCCCATTGGGCCTTTGTTAGGCGCGTTCTATTTTCCGCAACAACACGACCCAATCCACCTCATAGACGGTATGTGTTTGGAGTGCTGTGTGTTTGTGCCGCTGAGATTTAAAAGTTATTAATTACATCAAATCACTTTTGAAGCAACCTTTTCTTCAGATAAAAACTTATAAGAGAAATTTGGAGGTGAAACGTCTTCGTCCCCACCATCCAAAAGAGATTAAATTTAACTAAGAACAAAGAGTTGGAAGACAAAGGTGACTCTTCTCGTTTGAACGGTTCTCAAAATGCCGTGGCTCTCCGTGAGTATAGAAAAATCATCACTGTTTTGTTCTCATTGCTTGCTTTTTGTTGGTAAAGAAGTGGAAGAAACCTAAGCCCCACCCAAATCTTGGTCCACCCACCGCCACTGCCGATATGTAATACCTTTACACTCAATGTTGTGTTTTCACATGAGCTTTCGAATAAATATTGTCTGACAAACGTTTGGCTTTTTTTCTACTCAGGAAATGTGAGTTTGACAAGAATATGAGTAGTTCAGAAGTCGATGAGCTCTTCTGCACTATTGAACAAGCTAACCTCCACCTGAATCCGAAAGGAACGACCGGTAAGGGATTTCATTTTTTTAACCATTTAGGAATTTTGTTGGCTTGTTTTTTCTTACTTATCACGTACGCAGACACTTTAAAATGTGATGTCTTTTTGTGTAGTTCAAACAAATTTCCGCTAAGCAAACGTATTCTGTGACGTTCACGTAAAATAGTCAACTAGGAGGCGGACTGTATCCCTCTCAAGATCCATATTGGCCCTAACAAGCAGGGTGGAAGCAGCTCACCTTTAAATGATCATCTTTGGGACGATAGGGGCGTTAACGTCTACAGTCAACCCAGGAAACACTTGCAATGCAGTAGGAACCGGAAAAGTAATCTAAAAAAAGGCTATCCCCCCCCCCCCACGCCCCAAAATCCTGGCTTACAATTTTGAGATTTAAAGAGGGGGGGGGGGGGGGAGGGCAGATTTTAAGATTTCTTTCTCCCTACCTATTTCCCACTCTATCTTTCCCTCGTTCCCTCCTTCCAACTGGGGCATGTCATACATTTTGCTAGCACCTCTCTCTCTCTCTCTCTCTCTCTCTCTCTCTCTCTCTCTCTCTCTCTCTCTCTCTCTCTCTCTCTCTCTCTCTCTCTCTTTCTCTTTCTCTTTCTCTTTCTCTTTCTCTTTCTCTCTCTCTCTCTCTCTCTCTCTCTCTCACACACACACACACACACACACACACACACACACACACACACACACACACACACACACACACACTCTTACGCACTACCGGGTCTGGGCGTTGAAACTTTTCGAAATCACAAAAGAGTTCCCCTACCGGGTCTGTATACTTTGTGACTTTGTTCCCGTTACCGGGTCTGTATACACTTCGTTTATTAAAATCACAGTATATTTAGAACTTTCTTTTCTCGTCACTACTTTGAATCACATAGTTTGAAATGTGATCCTGGTGCTGGAATAACTCAGAAATCTCACCCGTATTTGGTCTCAATATTCGCTAGAATTAAGAAAACAAAAACAATGTTGCTTAATTGTTATAATCGTGAACCGCTTTGAAAGAGCACATAACCTCTCAACAGCTCGCATGGAAGGTCTTTTTATTCGATTACACCATTTTGTTCTGTACGAAGGACATAAAAGTTTGTACTTTGAAATATGTCAGACACGTGCCTCTATAGGTTATAATAAGTTTTGTCTCTACCCATATTATACGTTTGGAGTCGGCTGAATTAAGGAAACTGACTCAACATCCTATACCCCATACATTCCCATTTCTGCCCCCCCCCCTCCTCAATCTCTCCCCCCCCCCCCCCGACTCCAAGAGTTGATGACAGCCTGACCTCGTCTCCGCCTTGAAACAATCCCTCGCTGCACTGCCTTTTGAGGGATGTTATTCCC